GGGGAGAAGGTGACCAACCCTCTGTGGAGAAAGAAGTGGTTCGGGACTATTTAGAAAACTGGACGTGCACAAGTCCATGGGGCCAGATGCGCTGCATCCAAGGGTGCTAAAGGAGTTGGCGGATGAGATTGCAGAGCCATTAGCCATTATTTTTGAAAACTCATGGCGATCGGGGGAGGTCCCAGATGACAGGAAAAAGGCTAATGTAGTGCCCATCTTTAAAAAAGGGAAGGAGGAGGATCCGTGGAACTACAGGCCGGTCAGCCTCACCTCAGTCCCTGGAAAAATCATGGAGCAGGTCCTCAAGGAAGCAATTCTGAAGCACTTAGAGGAGAGGAAAGTGATCAGGAACAGTCAGCATGGATTCACCAAGGGCAAGTCATGTCTGACTAACTTAATTGCCTTCTATGACGAGATAACTGGCTCTGTGGATGAGGGGAAAGCAGTGGACGTATTATTCCTTGACTTTAGCAAAGCTTTTGATACAGTCTCCCACAGTATTCTTGCCTGCAAGTTAAAGAAGTATGGGCTGGATGAATGGACTGTAAGGTGGATAGAAAGCTGGCTAGATTGTCGGGCTCAACGGGTAGTGATCAATGGCTTGATGTCTAGTTGGCAGCCGGTATCAAGCGGAGTGCCCCAAGGGTCGGTCCTGGGGCCAGTTTTGTTCAATATCTTCATTAATGATCTGGAGGATGGCGTGGACTGCACTCTCAGCAAGTTTGCATATGACACTAAACTGGGAGAAGCGGTAGATACGCTGGAGGGTAGAGATAGGATACAGAGGGACCTAGACAAATTAGAGGATTGGACCAAAAGAAACCTGAAGAGGTTCAACAAGGACAAGTGCAGAGTCCTGCACTTAGGAGGGAAGAATCCCATGCACTGCTACAGACTAGGGACCGAATGGCTAGGCAGCAGTTCTGCAGAAAAGGACCTAGGGGTTACAGTGGACAAGAAGCTGGATATGAGTCAACAGTGTGCCCTTGTTGCCAAGAAGGCTAATGGCATTTTGGACTGTATAAGTAGGGGCATTGCCACCAGATTGAGGGACGTGATCATTCAACTCTATTTGACATTGGTGAGGCCTCATCTGGAGTCCTGCGTCCAGTTTTGGGCCCCAGACTACAAGAAGGATGTGGGAAAACTGGAAAGAGTCCAGCAGAGGGCAACAAAAATGATTAGGGGGCTGGAGCACATAACTTATGAGGAGAGCCTGAGGGAACTGGGATTGTTTAGTCTGCAGAAGAGAAGAATGAGCGGGGATTTGATAGCTGCTTTCAACTACCTGAAGGGGGTTCCAAAGAGGATGGAGCTCGGCTGTTCTCAGTGGTACCAGATGACAGAACTAGATGAGTAATTGTCTCAAGTTGCAGTGGGGAAGGTTTAGGTTGGATACTAGGAAAAACTTTTTCATTAGGAGGGTGGTGAAGCACTGGAATGGGTTACCTAAGGAGGTAGTGGAATCTCCATCCTTAGAGGTTTTTAAGGTCAGGCTTGACAAAGCCCTGGCTGGGATGATTTAGTTGGGGATTGGTCCTGCTTTCAGCAGGGGGTTGGACTAGATGACCTCCTGAGGTCCCTTCCAACCCTGATATTCTATGATGCTATGAAGGCCAAGGGGCACCGAGCTGCAAGGGGACCGGGGTGTGGGGGAGGTGAGCTGCATGGCGGTGTCACGTACCTCGTCACTCTCGGCCAATTCTGATGCCTCCAACTCGGCACTGGCCACTTGCACCGATTGGATCACACCCTGGCAGAGCCCGCAGAGCCGCTCCAGCGCCTACAGGGAGAGACAGTGGGCAGCGAGGGGGACACAGACCCCTGGAGGAGATGGCGGGAAGGGGGGCTGGGGTTCAGCCAGGGGTACTGCGGGGGGGAATGTACCACCCCTGGTTATGTGGGAGGTTGTGTGACACAGTTTGCTGCAGGGGGCGGAGGTTGTGGCGGTGTTGGGGTGCTGCAGGGGTGCTGGAGGGCTACGGGGGTCACTCCTAGCTCTCACCTGGCACATCTCCACCCACTGGGTCTGTGAGTGCTGCAGGGTCCCGCCCAGAGTCGGCTGCAGCTGCTCTGGATCCACGAACTGAGGCAGGTCGCCTGGGGAGAGCACGAGTGCCTCCTGGGGAAAGGAGCAGGGAGTCACCAAGCAGGGAACCCCCACTGCCTCCCCCAGCTAGGGGAAAACCTGCCACCCCATTATCCCCTCCCCTCCCTGACAGGGAACCCATTCCCATTATCCCCCACACACACCCTCCCACCTGCACCTGCCAGGCAGGAAACCCCTCCCATTATCTTCCCCCCTCCCGGCCAGGAATCTCCCCCACACTCCCTCCCAGCACTCTCACTCTAGTTCAGGTGCTGTCAGTCCTTCCTACCCCACCCCTGACGCCCCCTACCTGAGTAAGGGGCAGCTCCTCGCGGCCCTCCAGTGGGGCCAGCACCAGCAGGCGGCTCACAGGAGCTGGTGAAGCCTCCTGCAAGGCAAGAAGAAATCAGGCTGCCACCCCAGTGCCCAGAGCAGGGGGATGGGGGGGGGCAGGCAGGGGGCAAAGGTGTTCCTTGGAGTCCTTGCAGGGCTGGCAGCAGGGTGGGGAGGGGCCATGCATAGAAGGTGCAGGCAGTGGGGGGAGCTTTGCACCATGAGGGGGGGAGGAGTTATTGTGGGGCAAGGAGCAGCAGGGTGCCATGTGGGGGGCAGTGCAGGCTGTAGGCAGGGAGCCATGCGCCGTGGGGCAGGGCAGGAGGAGCAGCATGGTACCATGTGGGAGGCAAGCAAGGGGTGGGGAGGGGTCATTGCAGGGGAAGCTGGGTGGCTGTGTTGGGTGCTTGCAGGATTGGCAGCCGTGCAGGAGGTGGTGAGGCAGGGCTGGGCTCCGCAGGGGGGAGAACCAGAGAACCGTTAGAGGGGGTAGGAAGGGGGCTGTGCAGGTGGGGGTGGCAATGCTGGGGGGTCTGTCTGGGGTGGTACCTGCAGCTCCTGCAGGGCTGGCAGCAGTGCAGGGGCGTGGGGGGACAGAGCCCCCCCTTGCCGCAGATCCAGCAGCACAGTCAGCCCCAGCTCCTGCTGCTCCTTCCTACAGGGGAGAGGACAGTGAGGGGTTAATGGGGTGACAGTTCTCACCCCCTGGTAGGGGATGGGGCAAGGTGTGCAGCATGGGGCACTTGTGGGGGTGTATGGGGGACAATGTGGGCTTGGTGTTGGGAGCATGGGGGTTTATGTAGGGAGGACAGTGTGAGAAGTGGGGATGAGGCTGTGGGGGAAGGAAGAGTGCGGGCTGTGCGGAAGGAAGCTAGTGTGGGGGAAGACGTGAAAAGTGGGGGGGACGTATGTGGGAGGACTGAGGTCTCCCCATTGGTGTTACCTGAGCAGCGAATGCAGGAATTGCAGGGCCTGGCTCAGCTCTCCCTGCACCAGGAGGGATTGGCATAGGGATGGGGAGGGTCGGCAGGGATCCATGGGGGAGGCGGTGTAGGGATGTGGGGGCATGGATGTGGGAGGACTGGGGTCTCCCTGGTGCTGGCATTACCTGAGCAGCGAATGCAGGTACCGCAGGGCCTGGCTCAGTTCCCCCTGGGCTGCAGCCGGCTCCCCTGGGGGCTGGGGAGTGACAGTCAGTAAGGCCCTTCCCATCCGGTCTACTCCGCCTGCAAGGGCAAGGCAGGGTGAAGGAGGCCGTGAGCCTGGACAGGGCCCATGACACCCCCCACCCCCAGGAGCAGGCAGAGGGAGGACAGCTGTGGGGCAGCCCTAGGGCGGTGGGAGTGAGCAGTTCTATTCTGTGCTCCCAGAAGCTGGGCCAAGCAGGAGGAGCGGCTGCTTGGGGTCTTCCCTGCGCTTGGTGTGAGCTAGCTGGTGGCAGAAGGGGAGTCTCTCTCCCCCTCGCCCCACAAAGGGGAACAGAGGATCCCAGAAGAAAACGCTCCTCCATGATCCCTACAGGACCCCTCCTCGCTGTACTGCACTCTCCCCACCCCTCAGCAGGAGCCCCCATTCCCCCCCCCGGCCCTTGCTCTGTTCCCCTGCGGTGCCAGGCACTCTAGCTTTGCCCCTTGGGAGATGCCCAGCTGTAGAAAACCTCTGCCCCAGACAGCCAGGCCACTGCACTGAACCCAGGAGCAGCCTTTCCCTCAGGCAGCCACGGCCTCCTTCCCATGCCACGGCTCTCCACGAGGCTGCCAGCCCCATGCCACGTGGGGCACTGGGCAGAGGGGCACACAGGGCTCACATGCTCTGTTCAATTGCCCCAGTAGCTGAGGGCCGAGCCCTGGCTCTACCCCATGGGCTGCCCCCACATTACCGTATCTGCCTGTAAAGGAGGGCCTGAGGCCAGGCTGCCTGGGAAGGGAATGGAAACAATGAACAAGAAGCACGAGGGTGCAACTCAGGAGCCCCAGCCAAGGGGCTCTGGGCCCCTTGGGCACATTCTGCCCAAGAGCAAAGCAGCTCTAGACCCCAGGACCTCCTAGCTCCCAGCCAGCGCCCTCTCTGCTGGGCCACAGTCCATCCGGCCAGCAGCACTGCATCAGCGCTGGGCTTTCCTTGGCCTGGCTGGCTCCAGGATGCCGAGTTTGTCCAGGCAGCTTCCTCAGCGCACTTAGGCCGACAGGGCACCAGGCCCAAGCGGAGGAGGGGCGTGGCCCGCATTAAGGCGACAGGAGGGACAGGAGGGTGGGGGTGCTGCTACACCAGGCTCCGGGGTGCCAACCCTCCCTGTCCACGTGCCTAGTTGCTAATCAGCATAAGCTCGGGCACTCACCTGTCAGTTGAAAGATGCCTGAGCGCAAAAGCTCCCAGTCTACATCTTGCCCCACAGGGGCTGAGGTGGAGGGCAGGGATTCCACGGGGCAGCAGGTTCCTGCACCCCCCGTGAGGGGCAAAACACTCTCCACAAAGGGGGCTGCACCAGCACCAACAGCCTCCGTCCTCTCCAGCGATCCGGGGGCAGCCTCTTCCTCTGCGCCGGTGGGGACTGCAGCCTCTGCCGGGGCGGCTGTGAGGGCCCCCTGCCCGAGGCAGTCAGCACAAGTCTCTTCCTCTTGGCTTGGGGGGATGGCCTCCTCTCCTGGGGTGGGGGCAACCGAGAGTCTGGTGACAGAGGGGCTGTCCGGCTCCATGCTGCTGGGGGGGATGCCCCTCTCTCCTGGGATGGGGGCAATGGGGAGTCTGGTGCCAGAAGCTTTGCCCCCCTCTGTGCTGCTGGGGGGGGTGCCCCCCTCTCCTGGGGTGGGGGTAATGGGGAGTCTGGTGCCAGAGGCGTTGCCCCCCTCTGTGCTGTTGGGGAGAACACCCCCTTCTCCTGGGGTGGTGGCAACAGGCTGTTTGGCGCCAGAGGGGCTGCCCCCTTCTTTGGTGCTGGGGAGGACACCCCCCTCTCCTGGAGTGGAGGTAATGGGCAGTCTGGTGCCAGAAGGGCTGCCCTCCTTTTTGGTGCTCGGAGGGATGTCCCCCTCTCCTGGGGTGGGGACAACAGGGAGTCCGTTGCCAGCAGGGATACCCCCCTCTTTGGTGCCAGCCGGGGTGTTCCCCACCCCTGCCCCAGGAGACCCAGGCTCCTTCGAATCCACACTGGTGGGGCAGCCTCTCCCTCCCCACTTTCTCCTCCTGCGGTTGCCCTTGGCAGCCCGGTGTGGCAGCCCTGGAGCAGAGTTCCCAACGGCCCCTTGCTGGGGGCTAGTCCTGGCTCCTGGTGGCTCTGCTCTGGCTGGCCTCAGGTCAGGGCTGGGAGCCTCATGCCGGGGGCTGCTCGGCCTTGGAAGGCCCTGGCTCTGTTCCCGCTGCCCAGGGCTAGGCCATGCAGCTGGCCAGGCCGCCTGCCCCCCTCCCTCACTGAGCCCCTGCACCTCAGCCACAGTGCTGGGCTGGGGAGAGATGGCTGGGGGGCCAGGGTCCCCACTCCGCTGTACCTCCCCAAGGCTGCAATCCCCTCCTTGCTGCCTCTCCCCAGGGACCCCATCCCACTGCTTCTCCTCAGGGTCCCCGCTCCGCTGTACCTCCCTGAGGCTGCAATCCCCTCCTTGCTGCCTCTCCCCAGGGACCCCATCCTGCTGTTTCTCCTCAGGGTCCCTGCCCCGCTGCATCTCCCCGAGGCTGGGATCCCCTCCCCGCTGCCCCTCCGGAGGGTCTCCACCCTGCTGCTCAACCCCCTGGCTGGGATCTCCTGCCCTCTCCCCAGTGTCTCCTCCCCACTGCCTCTCCCCAGGCAGCCGCCCCTCTTTGCCCCGACTCTGTGCTGCCACTTTGTGTGTGGGGCCCCCCCGATCCTGCCCATCCCCGTGGCTGGCCCTCAGCCCTCCAGTCTCTCCGTATGGCCTCTGTAGGTCCCAGCCCCGGAGGAGCCCTGCTTGGCCGGGATCCGCCCCTGCCCACCCCCCTTCCCAGGTCCTGCGGGGCCGGTTCCTGGGCAGAGTCTCCTCCCGGCTGGGCTTGTGGTGCAGCCAGGCACGATGGCGCCGGTTGCGGCCCTTGCCCTGGCCCTTGCGGGCGGGCAGGGTGTGGCTCTGGGAACTGGGGGACACTGGGGTTGGGGGGGCGTCGTGCCGGGGCGGGCTGATTTCCAGGAGCTGCACATACTCCCCCTCCAGGCTCCCACCCTCCGCCTCCTGGCTCTCCCCGCCTGAGTGGCGCCCGTCTCCAGGGCTGCGAGCCCCCAGCACCTCAGGGCTGGGGCCTGGCAGGCAACGCTGCCCCACCATGAAGCTGTCCTGGTGCACGAACTGCGGGCAGATGAGTTCGGTCCAGGGCAGGCGCAGAACCCGCTCTTCAGCTGCCAGCAGGCAACGCTCCAGCCGCCCGGCCCGCCGGTCTTTGTTGATGCCGTTCAGCCACTCGGCAGTGAAGAGGAATGGGTAGGCGTCAGGCAGCACTGGCAGCTCCTGCACGCTGCGCCCGTCCGGCGACAGGCACTTGAGCACCAGGCGGGGGGCACGGGACAGGTAGGGGGCCACCTGCAGGTAGAAGTCACCAGGACACAGCTGCTGCCAGGGCAGGGAGCTGAGCTGCACCACCACCTTCTCGTGCAGACAGAGCGGCCAGCCCTCGTGACAGAACACAAACCCGCTGTACTGGGCCTGACGGGAGAGAGAGACAGAGTCAGGGGGCAGCACAACCTGGGGCACCTGGTCCTGTGCCTGGGAGGCTAGATGCACCTCTCCATGCACTGAGCCTGTAGCTAGGTGCCGGGCCTGTAGCCGCACATCCCTTCACGCGCCAGGCCCGCGGAAAGACGCCCCTCATGCACCAGGCCCACAGACAGACGCACACCTCTTGATGCACCAGGCCAACAGACAGACACACGCCCCCTCCATGCACCAGGCCCACGGACAGACGCACGTCCCCTCCACACGCCGGGCCCACAGACAGACGTACGCCCCCTCCATACACCAGGCCCACCGACAGACACACGCCCCCTCCATGCACTGGGCCTGCAGACAGACACCCCCCTACCACGCATCGGGCCCACAGACAGACACACGTCCCTCCATGCACCAGGCCCAACCCACAGACACATACCCCTCAACACGCCGGGCCCACACACACCCCCGCCTTCGTTTACTGTGCCAGACAAACATCCTTGCACACACATACGCATGGATGGACAGATGGAGGCACAGACAGACTCACACAGGCCTCCTGTTGAATGCGTGCCAGGATGTGCTTGGCAGGTATAAGGAACTCAATGGTGTAGCGCAGGGCATCCTCCCGGTACGTCCGCTCCACCACCTCAAACACCTGCCCCAGCAGCGTGGGTGCTGTGGCCGCAAAGGGCGGGTACAGGGCTGACAGCGTGTTCTGCACACAGTCCTCCACTGGCTCGGGCTCCTGTGGGGAAGGACGACATGGCACTGCCCTAAAGTTTAGCCACACTCCCATCCCAGCTCAGAGATAGAACCCAGGAGTCCTGGCTCCTAGACCCCCTGCTCCACCCCACTACACCCCACCGCCTCTCAGCTCAGAGAGAGAACCCAGGAGTCCTGGCTCCTAGACCCCCAGCTCTAACCCACTCCCCTCCCAGACCTTGCCCAGCTGAGGCCCTGAGGCATGGGACGGCATGGTGCAGCCTGTACTAAGCAGCACAGCTCCCGTTATGGGCCAGGGCCCTGCCCACGCAGGGGTGCCAAGCCCAGTCTGCGCTAGCGACCGCGTGAGTGCAGCTGGGCTGGGCCAGGGGGCTGGGAGCCGAGCACAGGCCCCCGCACCAGCTGCAAGCCATTAACGGCACTGAGCTCATTCCTTCCGCAGCACACAGGGCCAGGAAACTGCTGCGGGGAGGGGAGAGCTCTGTCTAGACTCTGCTCCTCACACCCCACCAGCTGGCACCAGTGCCCCGTGAGGGCAGGGACCAGCCCTCGGCATCTATCCCCAAGTCCATATTTAACTCAGAGGGGGCCTGTCCCACACAGACATCACCTCAGTCCTCTGCCCTCCATAGGGCAGGCACTGGTTGGAGTTGGGGGGCTGGCCCCTGGCCATCTAGCCCCATCGCCATACCCTGCTCAGGACAGCCCCACAATGCCCCAGCCCCCTGCTCCCCACAGCGCTGGCCATGAGTGGGGGAATTGGAGAGGGAAATCTCTACTGTAGACGGAGACACACAACTTCCCAGTGCTGCGAGCTTCCTTGTGACAGTGCCCAGCTGGGAACTCCAGGCGATGCGAGCTTCCCCACACAGTGCCCAAATGGGGACCCCTGTGCTGCAAGCTTCCCCGTGACAGTGCCCAGCCAGGGACTCCTGGCCCCAGGGCAATCCCCACCACCCAGCCCCACCAGAATGACTCTCTATCAGACAGACAGATGCGCCCCTTCCAGTGCCCCCCCCATCCATCTCCTATACAAACACAGCTCACAGGAGTGTCTCCTTCCAGGACTTGACATTCCCTGTGTGTGGGACGGGAGCAAGGACAACCAGAGAAGCCAGTGAAATCCTGGGATAGACATGGGGGGGGGGGAGGTAGTGGACCCTTGATAACCGGAGAGTTCTGGCCAGAAGAGGGGTGGATGGGGGGTACCTACGGAGCCCTGTCCGGGCGGAAAAGGTGGAGGGGGGTAGGGGTGCTGGAACAATTTTTATACTGGGGGTGCTGAGAGCCATTGAACCAAACTGTAAACCAGGTATATAATGGAAACCTCTTCAAGCCAGAGGGTGCGGCAGCACCCCCTGCACCCCTAGTTCCAGCACCTATGGAGGGAGGCACCCGGGAAACCCTGGCCAGGCCGAAGGGATGGAGAGGTGGGCACCCAGTGAGCCTTGGCCGGGAGTGGACTGGATGGGGGATACCTGGGGGCCCATGGCTGGGAATGGGGGCTGAGTGAAGGATACCCAGGGAGCCCTGGCCGGGTCAGGGCTGGGTGGAGGATATCCAAGGGGCCCTGATCAGGTTAAGTTGGATGGGGGGGTATCCGGGGGCCCTGGCTGGGCAGGGGCTGGGTGAAGGATATCCAAGGGGCCCTGACCAGGTTAAGTTGGATGGGGGGTATCCGGGGGCCCTGGCTGGGCAGGGGCTGGGTGGAGAATACCCAGGGAGCCCTAACCAGGTTAAGTTGGATAGAGGGTATCCAGAGGCACTGGCTGGGCAGGGGCTGGGTGGAGAATACCCAGGGAGCCCTAACCAGGTTAAGTTGGATAGAGGGTATCCAGAGGCACTGGCTGGGCAG